ATGCCATTAGAACCAAGTATTTATGACTAAATACACTTGAATAGAAAACATGCAGAGAAAACTCTTGGTGGTTCATTTGTCAAAAGCTGGCTGAACTGTAGCTCAGTAATTATGTTCTGGATCTCACAGCCAGAGAAGTGGGAACCGCAAACTGACTTCCTCATTCCTCCCCTTCCTCCACGAGTGCTTTGGATTAGGTAGTCAGCTGAGATTTCCAAAGCACATGTTTTTGTACCATGCTGCTGCGACCCATCTCCAGGTGCTTCTTGCTTAGATTCCCACAAAATACCCTTTTCCCCCCCTTTTTTTCATGGAATGAAAAGTTTGTTAAGGCACTGCCGTACTGAAATCCTTGCCAGGTGCATGTGCACACACGCACAGAGAGGAAAGCGACTTCTGCCCCGAAAGAAAGACAACTGGGCACTGTTGAATGCAATCCAACGACTCTGCGGTCGCTTGTCCCGAACAACAGATATTCTGTATCACCTCCCATTAACAAACAAAAGACTTTTTCCCACGCCATTATATATTTACATTAGCCTACTCCTCAAGCTTGGCATGTTGGCTTCCTAAGACTATTTGATCCCAGGTTCAGCTCTGTGCCAGAATTGCTGGAACAAAATGCAGTGGGTGGACAAACCTGTCCTGCTGCATTGCTCGTGGCCTTTTGAGAACAGAAGGCATTTCTGTGAGTCATGGCTGTGAAAGCACTCGCAGGGCATTCCGGTGCTGGGGCTCTGGCTGGAAGCGCCTGCGTCTGCTCAAAAGGTTACCACGGGTGCAGTCCTATCATGACACACTGGTTGGTATCAGCCAGGGGCAAATATTAAGTAGCTTATCTCTTAAAGAGGGAGATAAGGAAGCAGGGCTGTGAGGTGCTTGCCAGTAAACGTGTATCCATCACAGCTGTCGCTGGGTGTGCTGCAGGAACCGTGCCGCGTACCCGCACCACAACCAGGGCAGCTGAGCTGCAGCCCTGACTCGGGGCTCCTGCTGGGGCCTTTGGCAAGGCATTGAGGACTAAACTAGGCTGCCTTCTGCTCTGAGCTGAAGGGGACTGAGGTTTCACACATCCCCACTTTCTGCAACTCCAGAATCATAGAATCACAGAATGGTTTGGGTTGGAAGGGCCATTAAAGATCATCTAGATCCAACCCCCCTGCTATTTCTGCTTTTCTTTGAGACCAACAAATAATTAAAAAGCCCTACAAATAAAAGAAGGAAGTCTTATCAAGTGTTATTGTGGTGCTGAGGACACAGATATCTGGAAGAAAATGCAGAAAATTTGTTTCCTTGTATTTCAGTGAGAGGCCACAAAATCCACTTGCCTTGAAAAGGGAAGATTGAGGAAGGAGTTTATAGAAATTCCTCTGAATATCTGCAGTTGAGTATTTTTCAGATGTGCACACACATACATTTATATAAGTTTTTGTGTTTACATATATTTTTACATGTGCTTGGAAATACATATATGATGTGTGTGCATTTGAGGCTTTTTACCTGGGACACAGTATGCAATTTGAGGGGTGCATTTTTTTCTCTCCGGGTATGTTAATTCTTTTAAGTATCATAGAATTATAGCATCACAGAATACCCTGAGTTGGAAGTGACCCATAAGGGTCATGTAAGTCCAGCTCCTGGCCCTGCACAGACACCCCAACAATCCCACCCTGTCCCTGAGAGCCTTGTCCAAACCCTCCTGGAGCTCTGGCAGCCTTGGGGTCGTGCCCACTGCCCTGGGGAGCCTGGGCAGTGCCAACCACCCTCTGGGGGAAGGACCTTTCCCTGGGATCCAACCTGACCCTCCTGTTCTGTATATATTTCCGTGTCTTTAAGGAATGTAATACGTACCTCAGAAGGTGCTGAGACAAGTAACCCTGCTCTGTGTGATGTTTAGTGCTGCGGAAAATGCATGATGGTTAAATTCCACTGCCCTTTGAACAGGCCTATCCTGGAGGCTGAACTCGGCTCCAGTGGCCCGGTGCAGTCCTTGCAGGGGGTTGGGATGTGCCTGATGTGCTCCAGAACAGCAGCCTAGATGCACTCTGGTGAAAGAACGGGGAGAGGGTTGGACACCCATTGCTGGACACCCAGTGGGATCCTTCATGACCATTTACTACTAAAGGTTCACCCCTTGGATTAGAGATCTCTGCACAGCACATATGTTCAGAGGAATTCAAAATCATAAATAATCAGCTTTGTGGAAAACTGCTCCAGTCAAATCACTGGATAATTATCTGGCTTTTACAATTCTCTTTGAAATCATTTCTGTGGGGAAATATTCCGTGTGTAAAATCAGGAGTCAGAGATTGCTTGGAAGAGACGAGAACAGGGTGGCAGTAAAAAGGAAAAGCAAAGCCAATTTCACTGGTGTAATAGGGCATCTATTCCACAACACATAAAATAATAATGCTTGCAGTTAAAAAAGCCCAAGGAAAATATAATTAATGCCCAAGAGCAACTGAGGCAAATGGTAGAGGGGAAATGGAGATTCATTCACACAACACCAATTTTGGTGCTAAATTTCAGCAGATAAATTATCCAGCATCTCTCCCTGGAGTTTTTCTCCAGTTGAGAAGGAGCAGGTCTGTCAGAGCTGAACTAAGGCCTCCCCTGGAGCAAGTTTGCTCTCCCTATTGTAGAGGGACTCCAGAGAGGCTGTCAGTTCCCTTAGCCCATCTTTTAAGCTGAGTGGTGTGAATAGTCTTCAAAATGCCTTTGGGTTTCCCTTTACCCAAAGATTGAGGCAATGCTCCTTTTCATTCTCAGCCACAGGAATTAAACAATAAGATCAAAATCTTGTAATCTCCTTGGGAATTCCTTTTAGTTGTATGGGATCTAAATGCAGGGTTTCCCCTAAATTGCTGGGCAAATGAAGGCAGAGGCTAATCATACAGCTGGCCTTCCATGCAAACATTTCCAGTGTCTGCTGTGGCCACCAATTGTTTGGGATCGCCTATGAAACAAATTTCTTAATCAGTTTTAATACTAGGCACAAGTTTAAGTGTCATTAAGCTGGTTTTTTGTTGATCTTGTGATCTGTTTGCATCAAGAACAGGAGGACCTGGGAACAAAGCAAACTTTAGTATTTCAATTTTTTTGGCCTTTCATAGCACTAAGTTATGAAAAGGATGATTGAAGTAGACTCACGCTGGGGTCTCCAAACAGATAGTATTTAGTGTATTGCTTTCAGGAAAAACAGCAGGAGTCAGATTTTGTGTTATTCCCTCTGTCTCGGTGCTCTGTGGAACACAACCACCATGTATTATAGGAAAACTGCTATCTTTATTCTTCACCAAACAAATCTTTCAAAGCACATATATCTGTGCTGCAGGAATGTGCAGGGGGAGAAACCTTAAATCTTCGTTTTAAAAATTAGATGCAAATTTTAAATTTGTAAATGCACGTCCCCTGTCAGAAAATGATCCCCTACAATTTCCTAATAGCGGGCAAAACTCCAAAAAGAAAATACTTGCCAGCCTTTGGACATGCTTGTTCCAGTCTGGATGTGCAGGGATGCAGATGGGGACTTTGGATTCGAGGGGCAATGAGTTTGTGGGTGAAGTTCAGCTACAGTGTGGTTTGTTTTGCATGCAGGAGGTTTCTTACCATATCAGTATCCCAAACTGAAGTTGCTTGCAACTTCCCCTGCCTTTCCAACTTTGCTGTGTTTCCCCTCAGGCGCAGTTTCGCTGTGTACATCCCACGTCTCTCGGGGCTGTCACTGAGAGGAGAATGTTGGGTCTGCCCTGCCCCGCTCACTGCAGCGCCCTCGCTGCGGGAACTGTCACTGCAACAAAGGCCTCAGGGCTGGGCAAGGAAACGTGCAGTCACTGCCCAGTTATGAAAATTGCTGTGAATGCAAATATGATCTGTAGCTTTATAGAAAGAGTGTTCTGCTGCACACCAACTGTGCCTTCAACAGTGACAGGCACACTGAGCTGTTTGCATGGGAAAGCTGCTACGAGGGCAGGCCCTGATTTGTTACCTTCAGCATCACTTTGGGGGTTTAACCTTAAACTAAGAAAGAAACCCGTGGAAATATGATTAAAACTTTAGGGGATCTACTCATAACATGCTTTAGATTTGTTAAAAGATTTGCAAATCTTTTGATGAGTTCCGTGTACGTTCCAGATGTCATTGTAGAAACGAATGTAATATTACCATGTGCTGTAAAAACTTCCTGCAGCTCTATTAACAAGTTTCCCATGATGTAATTAGAAAGAAGGTGCAGTGTTTTCTTTGGCATCTGTGGGTAAAATGCTGTGCATAGTTATGCTGCTGTAAACCCAGGCCAACTCAGTTCATTTTAATGAAGTTATTTTGGACTTAGTTCATGTAGAATTTGGCTATACCTCTATCTATATCTGGATATCTCCCCTGAGGGGTAAATACAGCAAATGTTGTACATTTTCTTTAGATTTTGTATAGGAAGACACTATTCTCAGTATCAAGGAGGTTGCTACTATTCTGACCAAGGTAAATGCTGTGAAATCTTTCAGGTTCAGATTCAGGTGGGGATTTCAGGTGTGCCCATAACTTTCTCGAATAAGCCAGAGCACGTGCAAGTGCCTCACCCAGGGCCTTCAAGCCTCCTCTCTGCACCTCTTATTCCTCTCTGTTTGCTAGTCTGTTATGTGAGGTTCATGGTCAAGAACCATTTTGGAGTTGGAGGCCACATTTCTATCACAAATCATTTATTTTCTTTCACAAAAAATGTATCATCTTCTCACTGCAGCCAGCTAAAGTCTCTGGTGGTCACACTGTTGGTGCCTGTGCCGGTTTCTCTGCACACTGGTGTAGGTAGCTGGCTTTGGACTGTGATACCACACACAGGCACATTCATTACTGTTTTTCACAAAACATAAAAACTGCTTTGGACTTGGAATTTGCCTGTCATTTCTCATCCGGAGGAGCCTGTACACAAACGGCCTTTGCATAAGGCCTCGTTGCCTTTTGTTTTTTCCTAAACAAATAACAAACAAAAAGAAAAGGAAGTAGAAGGGGCAAAAAATTAAGTTTTAATGGAAACACATTTCATCTTTTGTTTTCTGCTTGCCATAAAACATTAACATAGTAAACAAATTGATCTTTGCTCTCACGTTCTTTAATAACATACAGTATTTTGAGTTTTGTCATGGCTAAGGTATGGTTAAACCACGTGTTGCTGGTCACATTCCAACCTCTCTTGTCACAGCTCTTTGACATCAAACTACATTTTTTAAAATAAAAGTTGTGTGTAACCCAATTCTGTTCAGACACCTTCGTTAAAAGGTCGCATTTGGGGTACATTAGTGGTTATGGTGTTTTCTGACCAAAACTGCTTTTCCTTGGGGCATATTTCAAAGTCCAAGCATTCCCATGGTCATCCCTGCTTTGTGCCAACAGCACCTTTTGGAATGCTGCATCCCCATATGAGCAAAGCCTCCATAGGATGCTCTGAAACATTATATTCTAGACTGCTAACCCAATCGTAGGACTTACAGTGGTCTTAAAATAGCAGACAGAGCTATTTGAAATAGGGGTATGGATAGAAAAGAGAGAAAGTGTCACTTTGGTCCACTTTTCAGAGTGGTTGGTGTTATAATATATAACCTTTTCTTTCTTTTTTTAACGCAGTGTAGTTTGCAATAATTTAAAATACTCTATAGACATTTAAACGATATACAATAATATAACTTAATTGGATTCCTCAATTGTACTTAACAAATACTATTCTAATATATTTACAGTATCTAGTACCATAAGACTGTGCATTACCATGTTTGGGAGCTTTATTTGCTTCCTGTCAAGAATGCAGTGGAAGTACAGTATATCACTATGATTCAACAACAATACCCATGAATCAAAGGGACTTTAAGTTACATGGAGGGACTCTAGTATTTTGGGGGCCCCTGATGACTTCTGTGAAGTTGCACTTGTTCATGCCAAGGCTGGCATTTAGAAACCAACAGTAACACCCAAAAAAAAAAAGAGCAATTTTATATTGCTCGGTGAGAGACTCGTTCAAGGGGTCTGATTTTCAGAGGGTAAGTGCTTGGGGTCAGAAAGGCAGGTCCTCATGAGTGTTCGAATGAAGATCCACAAGTCGTTGGTTACTTTTGATAATGTAGGTCCACAAATTCCAGAGGTAATTCCTGCTCCTTCTCAAATCCTGCACGGGAGCAGGTGGAGCAGTAGATCCACCAGCCCCCGGTCCCAGGAGCACCACATGGACTGACAAGTGCTTCCATGGCAGGTGGGGAGGGCTCATGGCTGTGCAGCCTCTCAATGGAAGTAATACAATGAAGCAAATGCCAGAGATGCAGATATACAGATGTAAGGAAGTTTTTAATCCAAGTTTTCAGAAAATCGGGTCGGGACCCTTGGGACAAGCAGACATTTATATTTTTGAATGGGCTGTGTTACAAGTGGGCATATCTGGCTTTTGGGGTTAAAACCACTAGATTTTACAGTAGTAAAATATCTGAGGATTTTTAAAAGATCTCTCGTAGGGACAAGGTGTGTGACTTAGGATGAGTGCTATGTAAGAAGTAAGCTTCTTTCTTAACATTCATGGATTTACCAGAGGCACGGTGTCGCCAGCCTTAGAGTAACGGTGGCGTGGACTAACCCAAATTTTAGCTGTCTTGTGCTCGTGAAGCCACCACAGCTCTAGGTTGCAGCAGCCTAGAGCTCAGCTGCCATACTTTTTTTAACTTCTGAGTGCATACTGAGCATAAGTTATTTAAAACTCTTGGAATATTAACTTTCAACCATTACAGGCAAAATGCGATGGAAGATCCTGCCAGTGCATTTGACAGCAAAGCAAACCCTTTGATATTTGTCCAAGCAAGTCTTTGTATCCTAAAACTCCCTACGAGGAGCCGAGAGCAGGCTCTCCACACCTCAGGCCTGAGTCTAAAAAAAAGTCATTCTTATTCAGGAGGCAAGTAGGAAAAGTCTTTATCAAACATTTGTAACCACAGTTTCATATGATGCTTTTGCTCAGTTCTGGTAATTGCTTAAGGCCTACAGTAATTGAACTCTAATAGTGGAGTGACAACAGATCAGTAGCATTGAAGAACTTAGGGAGAACCAAATACAAAAGTCATAAAGTCAGAGTTCCAATAAGTTTACATTTAGTACAGAATTAAGACATAGCTACCCGTTAGTGCTTAGAATTTTTTGATACTATTAAAAACATAAATAATTATTTTTAATGTTCATTCAAAGAGTTCCAGTGTCACTGGCAGCTGATGTAATTTTGTGAACGTTTGTTGGTTTTTTTCCAAACTGATAGTGGAGTATTTCTGCCACAGATTTTGCTCCCTACCAGTTGTTTTCTCTCTACCTGCTTTCTTAGGAATTTAGGTTTTTGCAGCAAGACTACTGCATTCTAGTCAGTGAAGATTTCATTTCCTTAAAAAAAAAAAGTCTTTTTTTGCACAGGGCTCGACAGTTTAGTTGCTGTAAAATAGGAAAAAGTGTCTTTTTCTTTTAAATGTCATGGGAGCTGCAACGCAATCAGCTTCTCTGATATGTATAACTTAAAACACTAAGAGAACTCTACAACACCCAGATTGTAGTTAAAAAAAAAAAAAAGAGAGAGAGAGAGAAAGTTTCATGTGGTTGTCAACATCACCTTAATCCTGTTGCCCTTGTTTCCAAAGCAGTTACAACAGCCAGCCAGCCAAAATGCACCATCCTTAGAGGTGTGGGTAGTAGTGGGGAGGGCGTGGTTGCGGTGTTGGCCGGGGTCGTGTCCCCAGGTGAGATGTGCAAACGATGCTGGGGTGTGTCGTCCTCCCCGCCGGGCTCGCGGGGCCGCGGGTGGCTCGCGCGGGGCCGTTATTTGCAGGTGAACACCTCTGTCCGCTCGCTGCACGTGTTGCACTTCACGAAGCAGCACCAGTGGAATTTGCAGTTACACTGCCACACCTTGGTGTACTGGTGTGTGTTGTACCCCCGCCCGCAGCACATCATGTCGCAGCCGTCCGCGTTCGGGGACGTGCGGTTGCAGAGCCGCCCCTGGGTCCCGACGCTCCCTGTGGAAGCGTCTTCCTCACAGTAGTTGGGTGACTTTTCAATGTACACTAAATCCGTTTCCATGGGTTTCTGGTAGCTCTTAATCTGCTTGATCTTCAGGAAGGTTGGCTGTCTTAGTCTGCTGGCTCGTACCACCTCCACCTGCACTGCAGCGTTGTATTTCTCTTTCAAAATGTATCCAATCTCTCTGAATTTGGGAAGTGTTGTCCAGCAGGTCTTGGTTGTACAGGAGCCTGAAACTCCGTGACACTTGCACTCCAGTTTCATCCTCTCTTCGAGAACCTGTGTGTACAGACAGTTGGATATTGATACTGCAAGAAAACTATTGCAAGGTTGCCTAAACCTCAGTTCATATCAGTGTTCACTACTGCTTGTTGAAATTTTTTTAATGCATGCTGATAAAGCTTCTCACCTCCCAACAGAATGCTCGTAACACAGTTGTAGTGGCACCTGGTTGGAAATACAGTGTTTTGTCACTTTGTTGGAAAACATTTCTGTTCTGTTTCCAAACATTGGAGAATATTTCCTTCCATTTCAGAAGACATGTCTTTAGAGCTACAGGAAACTTAAAATTTTTCAAACCATTTTCATTTTGAAAACAGAAAAAAAAAAAGTGGGGTTCTTTTCAGGTGCCATAAGATTCAGAATACTTAATTGCTTTAAGTAATGATCAAAGAATATTTTAAGAATTTTGACACAACAGTATACACTGTGTAGCTGAACAGGCATACATGCAGGAGGGCTGCAATTAGAGGACCCTTAAGGTCCCTTCCAACCCATTGTGTGATTCTGTGATTCTATATTCACTGCATCATTAAAGATTTTGCCTTTATACCTGTACCTATACTGGCACTGGTAAACTTACTGACTATTCCACCCAGAGTGCCCCATCCCCTTTAAGGGCAGCACTCCCTGCAGCTCTCAGTCCAGCTATAAAGCAAATGACTGCACAACATTAGGGGGACAAAAAGTCCACTGAAGGGTCCTGCTCAGCAGTGAGCCCAGGAGAACTGGGAGCATTTATTAGTGCCAGTGATCAGTGATCCAGGAGGTTCATCTGGAGCAGTTAATCCGCTGTCAGATGGTCCCTGGAAGGGACCCGACCTGGTGGGTGCTCGTGCTCTACTCCCGCCCTCCCATTTCTGCTCTGTCCCAACCCCTCCAGGACTGGCACATCCCTCCTTTCCTGGGACAGCGGAGTGTGTGCCCAGGGAAGGAGGGGTGTGCCCCAGGAAGGCGGGGTGTGTCCCAGGGGAAGGCAGGTGGGATGTGTGGCGGGGGAAGGCAGGCCGATGCCCTCCCGCTCCGTGCGCGGCGGAGGGAAAACCGGCCTCACGGAAACGCCTCCTTGTTTTTCCGCCCTCGCGCTACCACTTAAGCCTGACCATAATTACACCCACAGTCATCATTAGCTTATGAAAATCAGGGCCCAAGAACAAAGCGAGCTGATCTCTCCCCCTCGCACTGGGATGCTCACGCAGAAATCCGAGCTGCCGAGCCTGTCTGAGAGCATTACTGATGCTGCAGACCATCTCCTGTCGTGGTTTCGCTGCAGATCCCAGAACATGACTGAAATGGGCACGGGATGAAAGGGCCGAAATCTGAGTACAATGGTATAATGAAGTAGGAGGGAGTAAAAAATGCTTACTGCTTCAGAAACTGGCCTTAAAATAAAAGCTGTGCAGATCTGGTTATCCCTGCAAATAGAAGGCACCCTCCTGAGTTGTTTGAGTTTCACTTAAATTGTATGGTTTGTTTTTTCCCAAATTTCTGGGGTTTCAATATTAAAGAGAATATTTGGTTTGGGTTCTCCCTTGCCAACATACAGTAGCGAGTATAAGATAGCTGAGCAACCTATGCAAGAATCATAGAATATCCTGAGTTGGAAGCAGCAGCAGCATTTCAGAGCAGTGAGTAGAGGAATTCATTATGACATAGTCCAGGGTCTTTCAGGGGTCTCCAGGGTCTCCTCCGTATCCCTCTCAGGCTTGTGCAGAAGGTCTTTTTCCAAAGACCCCTAAATAAGATTTCAATCCTGCTCCACAAATCTGGCTTCAAATAATTTCTTGGTATTTAGATATGTTTGTAGATATGTATAGAAGTGCTTAGAAGCTGTGCTTGATATTGCTGGTTTGTTGAAACCAACCTGCTTCTACAGTTTTCTCAACATGCAGTTGCAGCTCTAAGAGCTGCAGCAAAATCCATGACAAAAGGTGGAAGGGGGAAACCTTCTCTACACCTTCACCAAAGAGCACTAAGTTTTCCAGGAAAGCACTGCCTATGGGATCTATCAGCCCTGAGCCACGCTCCTCCCTCAGCAGTAAATCCTGGGGAGAGGTGCACCTTTTGCCATGCTCCACACGTTCCTGATGTCTGTATTTTGGTCAGAAAGGCCAAGGCAGTAACTTAGTAAGAGAGTGGAAGGAGGTGAAGTTTGTGAGGCTCCTTATTCTTGTGTGGGCTCAACACTCCGGGCACTGTCCCAGAGAACCTCTGTCTTTGCCACTGATGTGCTTCACTGATACACTAAAAAGTGTCACTGCTCCTGGAAAACAGATACCACCCATTCTGGTGTCCCAGGTGACATATCTGTAAATGTATACTTACATAGGGATGTCTCTCTGTGTGTATATATGTTTGCCTGCGTGTGTATTTGGTTGAGATGCTGCCATTTATTTACATTATTATATACATCTATATATGATTTATATACGCTGCCTGGCACCCTCTGTAGTACAATCTTCAGCAACTTTATCCTAAGTCTTGATTTATCTTTTTGTCATTGTCTTTCTGAAGATCCGGTTTCGTGACTCATTTTGCTGAGCAGAGACCTGATTTCACTGTTGTATTGTTTTGAAGGTTCCCACTGTCTGTGATGGTGGAAGAACTTGCAAATGCAAGCCAGACAGGCTCAAAACCAGCAGAAGTTTCAAAAAGTATTAATTCATGCTCCTGAAGCCAATCTCACAGGTTTTTTTTATTTTTTTGGAGACTTCTCTCATGGATGTGGAATGTTTGGGGTTACAACACTGAGCACAGGCCCAATCATCAGGTAGTTAAATTCCTGAATGCTATAATTTGTGTGCCCACAGTCAGCTGTGGGTACAAAATTGTGCCCAGAAGCTTGGAGGTCAGGGAATATAAGGCCCAAACTAAGCAGATTCTGAGCAGTTTTTTCCCCCCTCTCTCCACCCCGCTGCTGTGGAGTGTTCTGTGCTGCCCAGCCAGGCTCTCCTGGAGGTTTCCCTCTCTGCAGGGCATCTCCAGCACCTTCCCACTGCCAGGGCCTGCCTAAGGTGGCCGCCTCTGACCCTGTTTGCTCAAGGCTCTGAATGAAGAGCAACTAATGTTTTGCTTCCTAAATGTCCCTCCAGCTCAGCTTTCCTCAGCAAAATTCCCATCACAGTTTTGACCCTGAGCCTTACAGGTACTTATTTACTCAAATCTAATGCCCTGTGCCAGGCTGGGTGCTTGATTAAAGATTGAAAATCATTAGCTCGTGCTCAGCAGTCCCATTTGTCAGATGTCAGTGCCTCTATCTAATCTTGAATGGTTTACAGCAAGATCTACCTCCCTGAGCAAATTCCCATCGCTGGACTGTGCTGCCTCCAACTAATCATAGGAACATTCCTCAGGTCCCCTTTCCACATACAGGCCCACTCCCACCCCAGTGTGATCTTGCCAAGTAAAATTTTCTGACTACTGCTACTTCGTTAAACGAATTGTGAAATGTAACGTTAAAGCTTTCTTAACCCCATGTCTTCTTATACCTACATAATTCACACACTGAAAATGGAATTTGAGGGCTGTCCACTGCCAGTTAAGTAGAAAAAGACTTGTGAAGATCAAAATAAAACAAAATGATATGCATGACAAGAAATTCATTTTTTCAAATTCCATATCTAGACTCAACTGCATAACATCAGATACAGTTTCTGTACATATTAAAAATCCTATCTGGATAAAGTATAAAAAAACAATAGTAACATTTTGTGTGTGTTTTGGCTTGCCTTTTCTGGTTTGTGTTTTCCTTAATGGAAATGCACATTTTTGGACCAGATGTTAAATGTAACAAAATCCATATTACTTTGCGACTGCAGTATCAAAGAGAAAGAGAAGACTGTAGCAGTTTTCCCCCATCAAACATGCGAGTGATCAGCTTTTGTTTGTGGTCCTGGCTACCAAAAGAGCCGGGTGCTGGTCACAGGGTGTCACCTCTCCTTTGGTTCTCATGCAGCTGATCTTGTGGACCCATCTGGGAATCCAGGCGGGGTTTATTTGCATTTGGTTTTTCAACTTGGACAGGCAGGGCTATACCTAACATTAGTAGGATGTAATGCTAGTCCTCTAATACAAATGTCCTGAAATTATTCTTTGTTAATAGCAGATGACAGAGCCCAGAACTGAGCAGTTCACACCGTGTCTCCTCCAAGAGAAGCCCTGGAGTCAGCAGGAGAGGCACGAGGTGCTTCAGCTGCAGAGCTTGCTTTCTGCTCCTCTGTGAAGCTGTTCCATGGGGCATCAAAACAGTGTTTATACTCTGTGGGGTGGGAGATGAGGAACTGAATTCCTGTGCTTACTGCTTCTCGTCATCCCTATTTTTCTTATGGATTAGTTTGACGGAAACAGGGAGCCTCTGCTTTGCAGGGGTCAGTACCCAGCCACAGCAGGAGCTGGTTTTTCCCTGGCACTGGCCAGAGCTCAGCACCCTCAGAGGTGCCAAGAGGTATCAGTTCACCTCCTCCTGGGCTCCCCCTGCCTCCCTGACACCCTCTTCCACAGTGTCCCCACTTAATGCATTAAAAAACGGAGGGAGTCCCACTGTGCTCTTTATACAAGTTCTCCTCTTGGCTACCAGGAAAATTAACCTGGGATTTTGGGACCTGCTGCCCATCACATGGAAGTCTGTACTGTTATGAGGATGAACAACAGCCTAATCCATCAGTGTCTTCTCCCTGCCTTCTAGAAAAGAGAAAATAGCTGCCATATTTCAGCAATAAACTGCTGCAATTGGTTAAAACTTTCTGAATTTTATTTTTACAGTGAAATGTTGCAAAAAGCCATAATCTTAAGAAGCACCCTCCCAATCATCCCCAAACCAAGTGTGATTGCAGTGTTTCACTCTCTTTTCTATGGAATTTGTTGTAAAGCTTGAAGGTAAAATTTTAAGTATCACCTGAAATAGTTAAAAATATTTCATGGGTGGTTTTATTCTTTCAAGCAGAATAGATATGTCAGGTTTGAGAGCGTGCAGTGGTATTTTACTAGATGGATGATCTCTGTCTTGCATGCACTGCATGGTATGCATGGGCATGCACATTTCTTGAATAAAACCAGTTAGCAAGTCCTAAAATATTTGGCTCTTACCCCCTCTAATTTTAAAGCAAAATGTTCAAAAAGTAGGAGAGCACCAGATGTAGCTTCTGGCAGTCAATGTTAAGGGTGTGTTTCTGGAAGAAAAAAATAGTCTAGTAATGCAGCCCAACTGGAAGCAGGAGATCTGTCCTCAGGAGGTTTGGAGCCAAAGCATATTCAGGACATATGGATAAGCTGTAGTTATCCATCTAACCCACCCAAGCTGTAGCACCAAACTTTTCAAAATTGGATTTCTATCTGTCTGCAAATCAGTTTAAGTGGGAAAGTGGAAAGTGTGGTATGAAGCACAACTATGGGAAGCTTTTCTTTCGTGAGTGTTCTCTCAAGGGATGTGCAGTGAAATAATTTGCCGCTTTGAGAGGAAGAAACTTTCAGCAAATGATGGGCTCAGGGCTGTAAAACCTGGAAAGTCACATTCTTTGCATCGCTGAAATTACTTGGGAAACAAAGTCACATTTTAAAGAATATTTTAGGCTTATAAGAGCATAAAATTTGTTGGGTTTCACATCTGAAACTGGGATTCAGCCTCCACTGTGACTTGGGAGCATTTCATGCAGAGTCTTTTTGTGGGCATTGTCTCTGCCCTCCCGTGCTGTCAGGTGGCAGTGAGGGCAGCCTGCAGCAGCTGAGGGCATGCTGTGCATCTGCCAGGACCCAGCTGAGCAATTAGAATGTTTCATGGGACCTGCAGGGACCTGACACTGTCTTACAAACTGTAATAGCTCTAGTGCAAACAGTACATATAAATATGTGTAAATATCCGTAATTGTGTGCACACACACACTTCATATATTTATGTATCTATGTGTATGTATGTGTATAATTAATGGGGACCAACAAATCACCTCATTAGCTGTTCTACAGCCAAAGCAAGTCAGCAAAAAACCCCTTCCCAGTACCACAGTCCTGTGGCGCCAGGAACTGTGAGAACAAGCCATGGCTTAGATGGAAATGTTGTCCCAAGTAATTGAATAATCTCTTCTGAAGAGAGTCTGAATTAGTTGTTTTTTCCCCACACTCTTATTGTTTAAAAAAAAAAAAAAAGCTGTTGTCATCTTCTAGGCATTCCAAAAAAACAACAACAGAAAACCATTCCAAAGGAATAACTTGGGATGGTATCAGGCTGAGTTTCTGGCAGTCAGTGTGATGGTTATTCTGGAAGGGAAGGGAACAGGCCAGCTTGTTCTGCACATAACCACAGTCACTGCCTATCAGAAGAGCCTAATTGATTGATAAACTGTTAGAAACATTTCTTTTCCTCTTTTTGGTAAAAGCTGCGATCTGCTACCAATTTGTCAGCTTGTTCTTTTAACTCACCCCTTAAAAACAAACAAACAGACCCCCTCATTTTTATAAATGAGATCCTCGTGAGAGACAGTCATTGTTTTGAAGCTTTCAACAAAAAAATAAGATTAATGGTGTGTGTTCCCAGATGTTACTCTTTCTAAGTTCATTTATCCCAGAATAAAGATACTTGTTTCTAAAAATACATGGTAGAAAGCTGCCTCATAAAACAGCATCAAAGCTGGCTGGTTTTGTTGGTATTTAATTTTTCATTACTCTATCAAAGTTTTGCCCACAGATCTCTCTGTAATCATTCAGATTTGCAGCCAGCCGTTCTCTCAGTAACCTTTGCATTAACTTGCACTGGTCCTCCTTTGGGGGCTTGTTTTCCTTTACCACACTTGTACTTTCCTCCCAAACCAGAGTGGGTGTTTCAAAGCTGACAGGGAAGTTCATTCCTTTGCTCTTTCACACAGCACAGAGCCGTTTGGCCACAAAACAGAAATCTTCCATCATGTCACCAGGAATCCCTAAGTATTTATTTCTTCCAAATGGCACCAATGGCAAGTTTATGATTTTGTCACTGCTGCTACTTATTACAAGTTTATCAGAAGCTTTACAAACTTGCCACTAGCTGAAACAATTCCTAGGAATGCAATCCAGAGCCATTAGGGGATGCAATGCGGGGCAATGAGGGGATTCACTCATTCCACAGTCATCAGAAATTCCCTGAAAAGCTTAAATATCATCTGACATGTTTCAAGCAGCATGTGCATCGAGGTGGCACAGGGCACACCACAGAGGGGGCCAGCTTGAGCAGGGATGGTAATGCATCCAGCAGGAATAAATGCTCCCTGGCCAGTTTAACATTTGGCTTCTACCTTCTTTTGCCTCCAAACACAGTGCACGGTGCTGAGCTGGAATGCCCAGCCTAGGAGAGGTGATCAGACCTGGGGCTGGCCTTCCAACCTGGTGGTCAACTACTGTATGAGGGCCTTTTACACATGTGGTACCAAATTTTGGGGGAAAAAAAAGGCTGTGCCTCTCTTAAAGCTGCTTTTTTGTCTGGCTCTTGAGTGAGCTGTCTGCTGCACATCCAGAGAGCTCGGTGTCAGCCACAGTTGAAGTATCCATCCTGTCTCTACACTGGAGATTGTGCCTCTCTCACCACATTGAATTTATACAGTATTTTCCTCCCAGTGAACGACTGCCCATACACCACCTGCAGTTTCAGTGCACAGCCAGCTGTACCTGAGTGTTAATGAGGAAAAGCCAGACAGTGTTTCCATCACCACCAGTTCACCCCTCTCTGCCCAGTGCTCAGGACACCACTGAAAACACACACTGTTTTAGAGAAGGGAGTTTGGGGCTGATTTTGGGGGCCAGAAGGAAAGAGTTATACTGGGTTGGAATACTGAATTAGTATATTGGTATATTGGATTCTTCTGCAGCACTGGAGGGCAGAAGCAGCATATTTTTAACCTGGAGGAAAACACTTTGAAGGGTATAGTAAATTCTCTCCTGATGTAAGTATATTTTAGGCAGAAAGATTTGTTGTCCTTTTTTAGGGGCAAGCTTTGAGAGCCATGAGGGTTGTTATTCAGGGGACATAAGTCAGCGTAGCTCCATGATGTTTATTGTTTCCATGGCAAGCAACCCAGTGGTGGTTGCAGACAGGAAACTGTTTCTCCTCCCAGAGTGACACTAACGGGCCGTTTGTGCCCCGCCAGTGACAAAGGGACAGTTGTGCCTTTGCTAAGAAGTGCATTGTGTATTTGTGTGTATTTCGTTAGAGCCGGGGTCAGTAAGTGTTCTGGTTTGGGTGGAATAAATAGCTACAGGTGCTGTAGGAGCTGAGCAGTGCAGACACTCAGTCCTACCCCATCACAAGCCCCGACATCCCTTGCTAGATTTTAGCAAATCGGATGAAAAGCAGTGATTTATCAATACGCCAAACAGATCCAGCAAGGCCCTCTCTGGGAGCAGGGGACTGGAAAGAAGGCTTAGGAAGCAGCAATTTTCAGAGGAGTGTCTCTAATACATGTTCAGCTCTGAATAAAAGGAAACAGCAACAAAACGTAAACATAGATGCCGTGGGTGACTCGCTGTGGGTGCGGGACAACAGCAGAGAGAGGGGTGAGTTCTCAGGGAATGCTCCTGCCACCAGCCAGCCTCCCCCCGTCCTCCAGCGCACACGGATCCCCATCCCTCGTCCTTTCTGGAATACCTTTCTTCCAGCCTCATTGTTGTGCAAGTTCATCAGCCTCCGGGCATTCTTTTTGATTTCTCGGGCATCAACAAACCTCCGGGAGAACTCAATGCCGTATCTGATATCCGCGGAGCAGCCTCCCCACTTCCAGCCCTCCTCCTGGTTGTAGTAGCCCTGTTTCTCTCGGTCACAGCCACAATTGCTGAGGTTGCCCTGGCTGCAGGCGGCCGTGACAGCGTGTGCAACCCCGGCAGCAGTAATGGCATAGGTGAACGCGGCCTCCCTGCTTCCTGTGGAGAGAAGCCAAAAGCTGATGGGTTGGCACAAAGGCAGCACTTACTCACTACAGAAAGTACACACATTATCTACACGAGGGTGTGGGGCAGCGGCGTGGGCAGGGCAGGGCTGCTCGCTGCGTGTCCCTCGTTCTTACAGAATCCCACACGTGCTTCCAGCGCCCGGCTCGGCTGGGGCACAGACCCCGGGTGAGCACCCTCCTCACCCTGCACAGCACGGGCACTGGCTCTGGGGCTGCACGATGGGGAGGGGGGCCACGAGGCTTGTTTGTACACTGGCTAGTCATATTGGCAAGCTGAGCTTTTTCTATTTCAGATTAATGACAAGTTAATAGTTACCTCTAAGCATTGGCATTGCATGGAGAAAGAAATATGTTCAGACAGCAGAAAAAAAAAAAAATCCAGGACACAAATAGGGAGCTTATTAATCTAATTTATAAATGCTCCAGTAGCATCCACTAGTGATACTGAGTGTGAAGTATTGCGGGAGAGGCCTATAGAGACAAGAGCTGGGTAGGTTTCATTATGTTTCAAGGTAAAGGAGACTTTTCTTGCTGACTTCTCCTGTGCATTAGCTTTGCTGTAATGACCCTTTTCCATTCCCAGTCTGACTCAAACCTCTGCATTACCACGGCTGTTGAGCACACAAGGGGCATGAAAGTGCTGGGGCGCTATTTCCTCTCCCAAACAGGTGAGGTGCTGACATAGAAGCACAGTCTTGTCCAGAAAAAAAATTATTTTAGAAAGTTCTTTTCTTTTTCTATGATGTTGCTGCTTGCCAGGGTTCCTTCTTCCCAATTCCATGTTATAGCTGTTGAAAAGGAGTGTATGAAGAGAAGGAAATAAACCTCCTTTCTTTACTGGTTGGCTGAGTTGCCTGTGGGTTGCAAGGAGGTACCAAGGCAGAGCCATCAGATGGAAGCTCCAGCCCATCCCTGCTCCCAGGAGACACCACTGTCACTGGCTCCAGGCAGGGCTGGATCATGCCCCTGCTGTTTTGCTGTCCTTATTTACAATGCTCCCCCATAAGTTCCCTTCTCAGCGCTGTCGGCATTTTCCTCTGTGTGTTTCTCTGGTGATAAACAGACAGACTTGTAGTGCTGCATCCAAAGAATAACTGTAAAGAATTTGCAGAAAGTTGCTGAAATGCTTTAATGACCACACACAGAGCTTTAGCATCATTAATGGATTTGGGGGGGAAAAATAAAGGAACAAATTTTCCAGAGGAGAAAAAAAACCCCAAAACCTTAGAAGCTATTTTTAATTTTTTAACTTTCAGATTCATAGATAGCATAACTATTCTGGAATGACCAGTCCACACTGGGTGGGGGGGATATGTTTTATATTTCTTATTTTCATAAATAGCTTCCTGAAAGATTACACCCATTCCAGACATGAGGAAGATCCTACAAGAAACTGGGTTTTGGCACCATTTACTTGTTTCACCAAAGCAATAAAAAAGCAACTCCGGGTAAGGGAAAAACAAAAGGGTTCTGTGTTCCTCAGCTCGCAGACAGGTTCCGTTGCCCTGAGTGGTGGTGCAGTGGCAGGGCTGCCTGTGCTCCACACACAGGGGGTTTTGTTGGGCTGTGCACTGTGTGCAGTCTGGTTCAGTGTTCCCAGGCCGTGGTCCACAGAACACTGGTGGTCCAGGAGGCCACGGGGAAGGGTTCGCAGCTAATCCGCAGAGCCACGTTAACCACTGTTTTTAATAGTGTTTTCAATTAAAACTCTGGTGATAACGATGCCTGGTGGTCTGTAAGAAATTCTGAGGGTTGACAGCTATCCAAAGAAGTTTGGGAACCACTGTTCTAGTTCCTAGTGTGATCTCTATAAACACATATCAATATTCGCTCCTCTCCTCTTCACTCGCCAGCTGAAATCAAACCTGGGACCCGTGTTTTAACATGTGTCATGTTGACCTTCCTTTTTGTTTGTAAATGTTCTCAATCTATAAATTGAAGTATTGGAAATATGAGATTCAATAGAAACCACATACATAGATATGTTTTCCTTTTTTTCAGGGTGAGGGTAAATGAGAATGCAAATCAGAGCCAGGGAAATGTTTGGTTCAGACACCTTTGAAGCACACACAGAAATGCTTATGAAGAAGCAGAAAGATATTGCTGTGAGGGAATATAGCAGCTGTGACCTACAGTTCAGGAGCTTTACTCAGAGATTAACTAGAGACAGGTTGCTCACTTTTTGTGTTTCAGCTCAGTATATTCCACATGTCTCCAGAGGAGATGGTGAGACATCTTATCACAGCTGCTATGGCTGTGGCCTCTCCCTGGGTTTTCACACGGTGCTTCCCTTGATCAGTTTTGTAAAACTAAAGAATATCCTGTCTTTATCTTCCTTTCTCTCCTCCTTGGTCCCATTATACCCCTGATTGCCTCCAGGAATAGAGGAAAACATCTTTCCTTCACCCACTTGAGAGCTATAGCAGTGATAGAATCATCTCAAGTCATGGAATAATATCAAATGGAAACCACATTGACACTGTGAAGAGATTACTCTTCTGTTTCCACACAGCTCTAAAATAAGAAGGGCTTAGAAATAAGATCTGACTTGAAAACCAGATTTCTTTAGCAAGTTAAGTTGTCCTGCTGAGAATTAAGGTTTTGGGGGGTTATTATTTTTTTAACTAGAGGATGTTCTAAAACTTCACTTGAACTTCAGTGTAAGCATGACCTCAGCAGTTCACTTAAGTCCCAGGATCAGTAGAGTCTGTCAGAAACTGCTGATGGGGGAGGGAGGGAGGGAACCTCTGGCCTCAAATAATGTGTCTGCTGTACACAAAGCTTTCCATTAGCATGTCATCGCTTGGAATCAGTTCTGAGCAAGTCTTTGTTAGGCAGCTAAAAATATTTAAGTAATGATTGCTGTGATACCTGAATGGAGAACAATAATCTCATTTTGTGGAATTTTCTGAGATTTCAAAAATATTCTTGTTCTGCAACAAAACAGAGACAAGTCTTTCCAGAAATGTTCATGAAATGAAGACATAAATAGCAGCAGATTTGTGATTTGACTCAGCTTTGGGGCTAGATTTTTCTTTTTCCAGTGAATATCCTGGTTATTTAGTTATTTGGCACCATATATGCTCAGTATCTGTGTCTCAGAAGAAGAATTCTTGTTTGACTTCCTAAAGTTTTCTGTCACATAGACCAGAATAATTCTGTGGAGATTTTTATTTTGGTAAGGCACTGCTTTGGCTTTTATTGCAACCCTTGGATTCATCCATTTCTCTGTTAGAAATACCTGCTTTGATGTCAAAGGTGACAGTTCTGGTTTAATTCCCAAAGCACAGGAGGAATGTGTAGCATGATCTAATAACTGATCTGATAACTGACTCCAATAGAAGATGACCACCAGGATTAAATGCAGTGAAGCCCTCTGTCTTTGGTGAAGGTGCTGAAGGCCACTTGTAGCAATGTGCCAGCCCATCAGAGGAGTCCTGCCTGTGCTGTGCTGAGCTGAGTCACTGCCATTGCCCTGAGCCCGTGTGCATTCTAGCAGAGGGCTCCAGCAGCAGCAGTGCAGGCAGATGCTGCTCAGACACACGGATATTGGACCACAGATTCCTTGAGGGAGACACTTCTGGCAGCCAGGGTGAGAGGAGCCCGGAGCCATGGAGCAGCCTGTTCTTGACCCCTCACTTAGATGTCATCTCTGACTAAGTTTTACACTGCTAACTGAGCACTAAACTTAGTCTGGTCTGATGTGGAAATTATTCCCAGGTCCATAATCGCTGTACTTCACTGCACTCGAACATGCACAGATTGAGCAGAGTGTGTCCAGCCTGTAACCACACTCAGCTGAGAGTCACACACGCTAAATACACCATCAGCCTCTCAGCTGGGAGCACGGGGTTAAAGATTGGACCATTCCAGAGTTATTTGCAAGACGTGTTTTTCTGAGTAACAAGATGAGAATATTCCTATTGCACACATCACCCTGAAATGGCCCATGTCAGCAACTGGATGAATAAGGCTGCCACTGAATGTCAGCTATTAGAACTGTAATTTAACTTCAAATAATAAACTGAAGAATATACACTGTTTGGCCAGTAATTTCCTAAATCTTGGATCAGCAATGAGAGAAGAAAGTCCTACACGCTGCTGTTAAACAAAACAAATTCCACGTGCACTTACACAAGGCACCAGATTGATTGTATGACATAACACAATATAGGTCAGTGGGAAGGGAGAAATGAACCACGGCAGAAGTTTAATTTTTTTTGCCAAACCCATTCTTTTCAACAAGGCTTGGAAAGCTGAGGACAGATTGAGTCAGTTTTTATGGCAAAAGACAATAGATACATCTAGATGAATAAACTAAAACTCAGACACCACCACCCTAAGTGGTGTTGGATGAAGACTTTTATAGACAAGTTTATTTCCTTTGTGATTTTGTGTTTTATTCAACACACTCATTAGCAATTCTCAAGGAAAATAGTGCAGGCCCTTCTCTTTCAGTTTGATCCAAAGGCAAAACAAGTCAGAGAGAGTATTCTCACTGTCTGGAGCAGATCCTTTATCTGTTTGCATTTTCAGTGTAACTAATTTTGAGCTTCTTGGTTTATAAAAGCAGGGATTAATTTAATTTCTCTATCCCTCTAACTTTCTCTACCCAGTGCTGCATATCAGAGCTGCAGACCTCCGAAATCAGTTTGTACAAGCAGAAAAAGCCAGGTAGAAAAGCAGGGCTGGCAGGAAACTCAGCAGGGTCTCTACTCTGACTGTCAGCCCTAACGTAGCTTAATAGCACAGGTGTGTCCTTCACAACAGCTTTTCTATTCTGTTCTTAAAGATCTTCAGTAGAGAAGGTTCCACAGTCTATCCCAGTACCTCGGGACCTCTACTGGTATATATTTTACTGATATCAACCTGAAACTGTCTTTCTGATTCAAACCCACTGCTTCTCTCTCTAGAGAGGCCAAGAACCTATTCCTCCCTCCCTGTAGGAGCAGCCTTTCAGTATGTAAAGAGTTCCACCCCTTCCCAGGTGT